CACACACACACACAGAGAATGAGCTTCATGACTCATTTCCCATGTAGCAGCAGTGAGGTCTGTTGGGCTGGTGTTGGTTAAGGATGAGATCAGCTCTGCTGGAGTTTAAGACACAGCAGGAATGATGTAGTCTTAATGACATCATGTGCCTGGCATCTCCAAAATAATCCCAGGGACTGGATCTGATTCAAATAAAACCTCACCTGCATATTTCTCTGTACCTCAGCACACACTGCAGTCTGCTTTTGTGTTTGAAAAAGGTTCTTAAAGATTGTTTTCCAATCTAGAAGTGCCTGAATGATTGTAACTAGACGACTGACCTTAGAAGACAAACTGATCTGTATTTTTTCAACATTTATGAATCTTAGGCTGTACTAAGGTATCTTATTCAGGTCAGTACTAAAAAAAAAAAAAAACATGCATGTTGTGTGATCCGTCTTATTTTGAAAAAGATAATTTACATTTTGCATACACTGCAAAGTGTATGTAATTTTCTTTTTTACCACAACTGTAAGTCCCCATTCTATATCAGCCAATATGTGTAGTTATTACAAATACTGAATAATAACTAATAAAATTAGTACTATAAAATATTTCAGCGGTCACCACTGCAATAGTTATGAGTACCTTATAATAAATACTAGTATTTTATAGTAACTCTGGCAAGAATTAGTTTTTATTGCTATTAAATATTACCAGTAGTGACTATCTCCAATGTCATTAGTCCTTATTGAACAAACAGTATCTCTCTGGAAGTCATTGTGACTAATCATTAGAGACAATAAGCACTGAAACTGGGATATATGCCAATCGCTCTTTAAATAAATCATTATACTATTGGGCAATTCATTCGAAAATAGATTCAAGTTACTATTCAGTTACTAAAAGTTGTATGTATAACTTGTTTCATGTTCAGTTGTCAACTCCTGAGATCTCACAGCAGGGTTACAGAAAGAAAATGAACTGACCAATCAGTAAAAACATACATTTTATTGATGACGTCTGATATTTTACAGAGTTGTGTGTTATTATCAACAGTACATAGTAAGATTTCCTCTTCTGGAATCCAGACATGTAGTATCAACATACAAAATTGCGGCAATATAAGAGGCATTTATGGTACATATTTATATGTATATATGTGTGGAATCTTCTGAAGAGGATTTGAGATGGATATTTCAAATGAACTCATGGTAAGATTGCAGAGCTCTTACAAGCACAAGCTTTCAGCAAAGCATGAACCTTTAACCGATAATCAAACAAAGATGGAATGAAACATGAACCATAACCTGTAAAAGAGATTTCATACACACAATTCAGCATTTGTTCACAAAGAAAAATGAAAGACAAACATAAGTCAATTGATACACAAGGCTCTTACAAAACCGAAGAGTACAAAACAATGAAGCTTAACGACAAGGTGAGAAAAGGAAAACTTTAAACTTGGTCCTAGCTTTTGCATTTAAAGCAGTTGTACAACATATTCCCCCATGTAATCCAGCTATATAATAATCCATACCAGGCATGCTCAGACTGCTTCGCCCGAGATGCCGTACTTTTGTGCTGAAGGTCCATTTGGTGGCAAAGCGTCTGTGCTCTACATTATATACCACAATCAATGAACCTCGTAGGACGTACAAGCTCACAGAAAATGGCAAGCGGTATAAAGGTTAATTCAGTATTCTACACTGGTGTTAGATCGCTTTAGTGAAAAGATAAAGCTTTACATTGCAAACATGCATGCGATCACAAACGTGCATGTATGTTCGGGGCTCTGGCTGCATCAGGGCCACTAAATGCTCAGAATTGGTTGCTATTCAAGATGAAACTTTACTCATCCTTCTCGCTTTCATTCAACTAGTTCCCTAATTTCCTCTTTAGCACAGACCATGTGCTTCAGAAATATTTCTTCTAGACAAACTAAAGGAATAATCCACCACAACTTGAACGTTTTGCCATTTACTCACCCTCATGTTCCAAACCCATATCTGGTTATTTATTCATTTATTGTTTTGAATGGGAATCTTCATGCAGCTATTTTCGAACAAAATTTGTGCGTTACATTCCAAGCCATTTGGCGATTGGTTGTTGGTGAACCAATTACAGTGAACGATTTAAATTTTGTCCTAACCCGCATACAAAACTATCGTATTGTCTTCATAACCCATAAGGTGTTTGACAGCCGTGGTTACCATAAACTATGCGAAAATTCTTTAAAAATTAATCTTTTGCGTTCTATAAAAACAATAACAGCATACAAGTTTGGAACAATTTAGGGCAAGAAATTTAGCATTTTCTTTTAGGGTGAATTATACCTTTAATAAACTCAAAAAATGAAATTCAAACCTATTTCCTGTCTGACCTCAGCTAGAGTCCTGAAAATAAGAGTATTTAGGTGTTAGTCTTTGGCATGGTATTAGAAAAGCCATTTTAGATTTATCTACAGGAAAGATACTCTCATCTAAATCTATAACTAAATTACATAAATGCACACTTCCTGTGTTCAAAAAAAAAAGAAAATATCCCTTAGTGCATTGCTCGGTAGAAATATACCTCTAAAGTTTTTAAGTCCTAAGTGAAACCTGTCAGTCTTTGACCTTCATTTACACACCCAAGGTTGTCATTAGTGCTGATCTAGTACAAATGTTTCCATTTCCAAAGACATTTGATGAAAATGGGGCGCTGATCTTAAATTAGCACTCTAATTCCTCAGACACACAGTATAAGTGTGTTTCGGGAATAGAGGGGAATTTTACAATATGAATGGTCTCAATCGGCAGCAAAACCGAGGTGCAGTGTGGAAGCTGAGAGTTTTTGAGATGACCCAGCTGCCCAAAGACATCCACACACAACCCATGCTGATAAAACTACAGCCGCACAATCTTCTCACACTCACGGTGAAGCTAACAATGAGAGTATAGATGACTTTTATTAAAGAGTGTCTGTTACAAACACCGTGGCTCTCATTGGCTAACCTCTGCTGAAACCTGTGCTCCAAACCCAGACTCGACAGATCTATAGATTTAGCTCACATTAAGCGGGGAACACAGCAGATCCAGTCCAGTTGAGTCTAGATTTGTTCAGAGTGAATGTGGGCGACGGGTTCTGATCCAGCCCATCCATGAAGAGATCACTATAGCGCTTGAGTGCATGTGTGTAACCGTTGCAACCTGTTTAGTTTCGTTTCAAAGAACTTTTACAAAGAAAAGAGCAGAAAGGGTTTTACACAAGCAAAACAAAAAAAAAAATGGCTGCAAAAGAGTTGTAGCTATAAAAACAAACAACAATTAACAATAATAATACAACATAACAAAAAGATAATTGAGTATTAACATTAGGGAGGGAAAGTATCCAGTTGTGTCCCTTCTTCAGGTGAAGCGGCTCCCTCAGAGGGTTTGGCACAAGAGTCTGATGAGCTTGTGTGTGTGAGAGAGAGAGA